CAGTATTCAATCCACCCACAATAAAATAAAGATCTACACATTGGTACACATGAAATTGGAAACGCAACAGATTTTGACCTCATCATTTCGATAACGTATTTTTCAAGAGCCCTCTTTTTAAAATATAAATATCCTTATCTTAAAAATATCTTAAAATGAAAAATTTTTCCTAGGAAATACGAAGGAAATACTTGTGACTACATTTGTTGCCTTATCAAGATAACTGAATGCTTATTTTTGAAATAGTTTTTGAATCAAACTATCAAATACTACTTTTTTTAAAAAATTAACGGTAATAAACATCAGTTTTATCAAAATTTGTTAAGCTTGTTAAAGAATTTTAGTCCATATACAAGACTATTTATTTACTATAGTCTTTCTGGTCATTGTTGTGTAGGAACCCATGCTTATTCCTCATAATTCTCACTGCAGAAGTTGTGGAACCCGCCAGGAAAAAGAAACCATAATACGTTTTCTCTGTGACTGCTCGGCTTTGGAGTCCAGAAGATATAAGTTCTTAGAAAGATACTTATTTGATTGTTTATCTCACTGTTCATCGGTGAAGATAAAAGATTTATGAAATTAACAAAATTCGGTGGGATGGATTTAGTGTTTACTTTTCTATACTAGGATTTTTGCGAGTGATGTGGTACCCACATAGCACCCACATAGCGTTTATATTTCAACCGTATCTATAACTTTCTCAACATTTTGTATTCCAATTTCTAGGCAAATTGGAGTAGATAGTTCATTGCAGTATCTCAGGAATTAGGAATTGCGCATGATATATCATAAATAGGACTTCCTTTGCAGTTGTTGACAGCTCTAGATCAAACCTCATTCATGGCGTGCTTAGAGTTCTCCGAAGATCAATCTACTTTGACTTATGCTGTTTTGAAAATTGTCTGCGTGACCTACAACGATATCGCCCCCTTGAAATATTGAACAAATGGTAAAGCGGCTTCTCTCCATCATGTCTCCAATCTCAGTATAAGATTTGCTTTGGTTGTGCAAATATAGAATTGGATAGACGTTCAAAGAAGCTCATTATAACAACAAAGGTAGAACTGAAGGTGGCACTGCTGAAGAGTGGCAAAATATTTGGCCAAAAACCACACAAAAATTTATTTCTTCGGTTCCAAGGCAAATAGTAGCTGTTATTAAATAAAAGAGCTTGGCCACTAAATATTAATTGTAATCGAAAATATTTTTTTTAAATTTGTTTTTTAATTCTTGCATTAGCTGTGCCAATAATTTTGTTCGTCACTATATATAATTTGATTCGAATCTGTTTTAGAGAATATGTTTTTTTTAATAATCAGCTGATTTTGAAAATGATTTATTTTTAATTCCCACCTGTCCGTATTCTATATAGCACATAAATTTATAATTCTTATTAAGTTAGAATTTTACAAGGTGTATATAACACGAATGGCAACACATATATTACGATTTAAGTAAATTTAATACATTTTTCTTTTGTTTTAGTAGATGTGGCTTGAAAAAATGGAAGATAGACTGTATGATCAATATAATTGAAAATGGTTGTTTTATTCAGTTTCTCAGTGCGATTGTGCATTTAATAGCGAAATTAAAGATTTGTTGCTGAATTGAACCGTCAAATACTTTAACTAATTTTTTTTTGAAAAATATCTATGCACGGGTTTTATGAGATGTCATCTTAACCAGGGCATTTATTTAACAAAAATTTAAACAAATTTTTTTAAGTTTATTTATTGCTGAACATAAATAAACCACAATTTCTAATTTCGCAGATTGTATGTAAGGAATGAGTATTTATTTGTTGCTTAACCAACCTACATATTATAAAACTAGAAGCAAGGTCGATTTACTTTAAGTTTAATAAGTTTGTCAGCATTTTTTACTTTAGTTGATGGTGGAATGTTTCTTAGCATTGGATATTGAATTGTCGAAAGTCGATTTGAGATTATGCATGATATGAGATAGATTTTCTTTATATCTGTTAACAAATCTGCACTTCAGATCATTCAGGTGTTTAAAATTTTTAGAAGATCAACCTTATTCACTCATTTTGTTTTCAAAATACATCTTTGCATGACTTACAATGATATAGATTTGACTTACAGAATATCCAAAATTATATAATTTAATTTGAAAAAATTTTACATAATGTTTCTTAAGAAAATCAGTTAATAATGAAAATAATTTATTTTTAATTATTACCTGTCCACATTAATTACAAATAATTAATTTATAATTCTTCTTAACTTTAAATTTTATATACTATAAAAAAGCCAATCAATGTGAACTAAAACAATAAAATAAGTTTAATATATTTTATAATATTTGGATTTAAGAACTCGGAGAGAGAAGGGCATTACCAATATGATTGAAAACGTTTGTGTACTTCGGTGGATTGGTGTGATTAAACGTTTAATAGCTAAAGCAAGGAATTGTTGCTAAATTAAGCATATTTGCTTGGCGTGAATAATGCACAGCGTTCTGAAGTGTATGTTGCGAATAAATGTTCTTTAACTGATTTATCTGTGAAATTTAAAAAAGTGTAAGTGGTTAGAGGTTGGATTTATGCCCACGTATACTTTAAAGAGCATCCATATTTTTTGAAATTAAGGATTCCTTAATGAATTACCAATTGTTATGTATTTTAGAAATACAATTATATAATTGAGATATTTTGAATTTGTTTACTACATACATGAATAAATTACACCGCGAATATTTGTTAGATACTGATGGTATTGATAATAAATAAATGTGTTGAATGACGTTTGTATTATTTTTTTTCAGATTTTTTTTTTTTGTATTATTTTATATAAAATTCTAACTCTGAATACAATCAATAAGAGATATTAATCATTTTTAACCCATTTTTTTTTGTTTTCTATGAAGAAAACAGCATTTGACTCCTTATTATAAAGTGTTTTGAATAGTGGAGTCTTAATTTTTCGAAAATGGGTCGTAAGGAAAAAGAAGTTTCTGATGAAGTCAAAATACTTGTAATTAAACATTATAGCAATTAAGTAAAAAAAAAAAATTTAAATTGTAAATAGAACAAGAACAAAAACTACCATTCACTCTATTAAGTAATAGAATAAAACAAAATCGGTCGAAAACAATCAAAGATCCGGCCGACTTAAAGCACTTTCCAAAGCGAATTAGCGATGGTTAGTACACCAAGTGCAAAGAAATCCCAAAACAAATGCGGCAATTCTCTGTAATAACGTTCAAAAATATTTGGGAAAAGAGGTCACACCACAAACTATTCGAAATTCGCTTACAATTTATGTTTATAGAGGAAGAACTGCACAAAAGAACAAAATCAATAGAATCAAAAGGCTACAACTTGCAAAGGCTTATGTAAAAGAGCCAGAATTCTTTTGGTATAATGTAATTTTTGCTGATGAGAGCAAATTCAACCTTTTTGGATGCGCTGGTAAGATAATTGTGTATAGAAAGCAAAATACGGAACTGGAAGAACAAAAATACAGTTGCTACTGTTAAACATGGTGGTGGCGGTGTTATGATTTTGGGATATATTGCGGCATCTAGTGTGGAAAATATCGAAGTAATAAGTGGAATAATGAATCACAAATTATATATCGATATATTAAAGAAGAACTTGAAGCAATTTGTAGAAAAACGAGACATTGGGAATGATTTTCAGTTCTATCAGAATAATAATCCAAACATTCTGCGCTAAAGACTAAGCTTTGGTTATTATATATATTATATAACTGCCGAGAAGTGATAAAAACACCTCCGCAAAGTGCAGACTTAAACCGCATAGAATATCTTTAAGACTAGTTTTGTTTTATTTTTTTTATTGCGTTTTGTTGTGATTACAACATTTCACAAAAATTTAGTTAATGAGGAATACATTTTTTGACTACTGTATCTCACTTTCTTTTCCGAACTATATTACGTACCATCATAAAAATAAAAATTACATTATTTTTGAGTATTATTTTTTCTACATACAGTCCTTAAACAATATATTAGGGACTAGTATCTTAAATGCCTGTAGTATATAAAATTTATCAGAAAAATCTTTTTGTGTTTAAACACAAAATTTAATTAGATACATTCACTGCTGTTACGCTATTTTATTTACATATTAAGATATAGTGTGTATTAAATCAACTAAATTAAGTTATTAAATTAATTACTAATTTAATTTAATAAACAGTTAATTTTATTTTTATTGTATCTTAGCATGTAAGTAAATTATCATAAATATAGTAGTTCTATGAATAAAGTATTAAAATATAGTAGAATATATTACCTACACTTGTATGACTATAGACAGCAAGAAGTTTAATTAGACAAAGTTATTTGACCATTATTAGAAATTTTCGGCTGGCGTGGAAATTTGAATTATTTGATTAATGTATTAATATTCTTTCAGCCATTATAGTAATATAAATTTTTCTGACTACATCTTTTAACTAGTTGTGAAAAACACAAATATAATATATTGTAATATAACTAATTTTTACTGCCAACAGAGTTTATATTTTCCAACAATATTTCGGAGAAGTTCAAATATTTACTGCACCGTAACCTATAGCTCGATTTGAAAGAACTTGCGATTATTGTTGAACTATTATTTTTGGAAAACGGTTTCAAAGAAGTTTGACAAAATAAGCCAGTAGCGTTGTTGTTTCATATGTTATTTTTAAAATAAGCGGTTGTTCTTTTGTAATATGCTTAGAAAAGAATAGGCGTAATGTCATGTAATTGTTATTGCAAATATACTAAAATATTTAGACACTAAAATTTAGACACCATAATTTAATAAAATAACAGAATGTTGTTGGCTCACACAAAATGTTCATATACCTATGGATGTTGATAAAATTTTAAAACAGCCTTGTAAATAATATTTTATTGAAAGTTCTTTTAAGTATTTTAAATTTATTAATGTTATAATACTTTAGAAACAGATTTAGTTACAATAAAATAAGTAAATATCATGTATAGGTTATGTATTCTTACAAATTAATTTTGCGAAAATGTTTTCAAATATATTTAAGTAATTTTAATTTAAGCTCATTACATTACATGAAAAAGTTAATGTTGCCATGGGTGGAAATGATCAGAAAATTGATTTTGGAAAATAAATCCACCGGTTAGATCAACAACCTGAAATTCTGGCAAGGTATATCCAAAAAGATTATGCAAAGGAAGGGGGTATAAATTACCAGTAGCACCTGGTCCAAAAGGATTCAAATTTCCACGATCTACTTGCGGAAACTCGTTTTGATGACGTGGGCTAGCAAATTGACTATAAAAATTGAATTCTGGAGTAAATTTTGTCACATATATTTAATATAATAGTTACCCTCTAAGACTCGAAGGGACAGTTGCACGCATTGGGTCAATAGATTGACGTGGAACTCTTTCAGTTTCAGTTTGAGTACAAGCCTCATTTGCGTTACGGGATATTATCTAATTGTCAGTGATAATAATTTTAATGAAATCTATTTATAGGAATTTACATTTGAGCTTACAACAGTCTCGATTAATTCTCTACGAATACGATCAGTAATGGCTGCGGCGTCTGGTATCATTGTATAAATTTTTCCATTAAAGGATTTAACTACTTCCTCCGGATCAAATAAGATATTTGACACATTTTTGCTCTCCACACTCAGCAAGTTAAGCAGTATTTTACCTTCAGAAATAACATTTCCTATTAGAAGATACAACTGGTTATTTTGCAAATATCGGAGTCTATAATCAAAGTCCTCAGCATTCCACAACTCTGGCAACAACTCCGAACCAATTTCGTCCTCGGAAAATGTTTGCTAAAACGATATATTAATACACCGATACCCATTTACGTTTTTTTTTTATAACAATTATATATATTTGTGTATAAATGTATATATATATGTATATATATAAACATACAAAATGAAGTAGATACTTACATCTTCCCCGATGCCTAAACATTGAAACTTATAATGCATCACAAGCATGAAGTGCGCTAATATTAGCACAACATCAGCTTTCTTTACAATATCCTTTTCAATGGATTTCACAAGCATATCCCAACCAAAAAAATATATTTCATCTATATCTTTTATTTGAGGTGAAGACATTTTGAAAATTTAATGACTTTTTTGAAACCAAGCGCGCACTTTAAACACAAATGTACCGCTACGATACGAATTGTTACAGCAAATAAAGTAAAATAAAATTTTATATGTAATTTTGACAGCTAAATATCTTACAGTATGTTCAGTGCTGATAGCTTTGTTCAATTTGTAAATTAAATTTTTTATTCTAATTTTTTAACTTGTTCGGAATTTGACATTGTATTTGTTTTTCATGTCTTGGATATGTTATTTATTTGTAAGCTATTCACACAGCAAAAGTAATCGTAATTTTGATTGTTAGTTCGCTTATTATAAAACCAAATTAAAACTGCAATATGATTACGTACAAAAATGCGAATACCAATATTATGATTGAATTGTAATTTATTCAAAATCAAGTTAAAATTAATATCATAATTCACATGACTTAATGCCATAAATTAAAACGAAATAAAACAAAATATTGGAGGTAGTATGAGCAACAATAAAAAGACATAATTAAGATTTGTAATTTGAAGAAGGAAGGAATTCACAGTCAAAGTTATAATTATTTTTTTGGTGTGTGGATAGACTTTTATATTTAGTTTATTACTGAATCATGGAAACATCTAAAACAGGGCTGCATAAAGCAGGGCCCACGATTCACATGCGGTGCGCGGCTAATGTTTATGCGACCCGCGGCGTCTTATAAGATAAAAAATGATTGCAATAGAAAGCAATATCTGGACTCCAATATCTGGTTTTCACATTTCAGCTCAACTATTTATACAATAGTTATACAACAATTAAATTACAATAACAAAATAAGAAGTATCTGTTTATAATATAATAGTTGAATACCAATGCCAATATATAATAAATGCAATGAGAACTGAAACGGAGGAACAATGAATATTTCACAACATTAAATTCGATATATCTACACGACACTGAACAGATACAAGAGCAACTACATCATTAAAAGAAACAAATGTTAAAATTTAATGTATAAAACTTATTGACAGTCACCGCTAAAAAGCTTAATCTGTCAAAATGGTTCTACTTTGCTTTCAAGGAAAACCTTCAAATATAAAATCAATATATCAAAATATTTAAATAAAAAATATTTTTTAAAACATACATACTTATATCTAAGCATTCATTTTTTATTCCACAAAGCTTATGTCATTTATTTGAGGGACGTTCATATATTTAACATTTCAAATTTAATAAAGCAAAGCAAATAGACGAAAAACTCTAAAAATAATGTTAACCCTTTTAAAATTTAAAAAATTAAGGTTAGAAAATTAAAAAAATGGGTTTGTGTTAAGTATAAAAAAATTACTATTAAAAATCGAAATAAAACAATTTGATTAGAGAGGTTTCGAAATGTAGTGAACTACTTTCACTACTAAATGAACTATTTTCACTACTAAGTGAACTACTTTCACTACTAAGAGAAATTACAGTCTCAAAAAATTATTTACGAATAATTAAAGATAAGAAAAAATTCGAAGACCACTGATGATGGGTATTTGGCAAACTCGATACAACTGTATCGTTAGCCAAAAATTCATGAAATTAAAATAATATAAAAAGAATTTTTGTTGTTGTAGTTTATTATTTTTCGAAACCTTCCTAACAAATTACAATTGTGTCTATTCATTTAAATAGTCGCTATCGTCATAACCATTTATTTAAAAATAGTCGCTACCATTTATATAAATTAAATAAAATTATCATATCAACTATACCTAGAACTAACATATACAATATCTGCACTGTTGATCCCCTAAAAATACAACACCATCTCTATATTTGGATGATTAATATATATTGTGTTCTGCAAAAACTGTTACGAATAGCAACAAAATAACCATATTGATATACAGAGAACTACTTCCAGTAATAGAAAATTCGTGTTAATATCAATAATTCTCCAGCTATATTAATAACCAGAAAAAGAAAATAAGAATCAATAATTGCTTATTAAGAAGGATGGTATTGAATGGTAGAGATTAAAAGCGGTAGTAGAAATAAATTTACTTCAGATTAGAGAAAATAAGTATATGTTAGGCATTAATCAGTTAAATTGTACAGAAGGTCGCACATTTTTTCCAACATGGAACCTCAAGCATTTTACATCAACCTAAATGACACGTTTTATCTTCGATTATTAAGTCCATCCCTCTTATTTGGAATAAAGAAAAATCAACAATGCAAGAATTACATATTTATTGAAACAAAGCCATTAACAAACAAGGAAATTCGAAAAAATATAGCGGCGTACTTAGGCAGAGAATGGTACGGTTATAGTTTAGGGAATAGATCCGCCTTGAAAATATAACAATTAGAAAAAATATTTAGTGAACTACAACAACACTACAAGGCAAATGTTAATAAGTATATTGGACCCTCCTTCTCCTATCAATAGCTATGATGACAGCTATTCTACTTCCTTAGTATAAAAGAAATTCAGGTGTTTATTAAAGTTTAAGAAAAGAAACTTAAAAACATTTATAAAAGATAAAGCACTGAAATCCGTTGACGAAATAAATGAACACAATAACTCTATACGTCATCATTATGATGTATAGATGATACATCATCCTCGCTGACATCAAAACGATGACAGAAGCACTGACTTAAAGTCCATTTTAAAAAAATGACTTTATAGTAAGATTTTTATTAATTATGTAGTAAGAATAACCACCTATTCAAGACCTACCATATTGATGAAAAGACAAAGAGACTATTAAATAGTTGGTATACAGATCCTAAATAGTATCCACATCGGAAATCTAAACAATATATTCGTGTAAACTGATATATTTAGTTGGAAGAATATTATTGTGAATAAAATAAATAGCCTTAGTACATTATAACATAACTACTTTCTGTTTCTACTCTCTTTCCTAAATAAGTTAAAAAGTATTTAAATCTTCATAAGCCACAATAGGGTTTCGGACGTGCAAGCATGCGAGTGTAGTTAATATGGCTCGTACTTTCTTTAATAATTTGTACTTCAGATTATTATTATTAAAAATTTAAGAGTAAAATCGCCCAACTGACGGTACTGCGGCCAGAAGAGTCCTATTGTACCAGTTTCACTATTGATTACACAAAACCTCTTAAAGCTTTGTAAATAAAGTCTAGAACTAAATCTAGAGAAGAGTTCTTAATCTGTTCTGGTGACAGAAATTCTTTATGAAACATGTTTCTTCTGTGCGTTATTAAAGCTGGACAGTCACAAAAAATGTGCATGGTCGTTTCCTCATCTTCGAGGCATAATCTGCATTCCGAGTTACCATAATGACCTGTAAAGAATCCCATTAGCAACCTTAAATTACATTTTGAGAATTTAAGTATGTCTTTGTAGGAGTACGGTCGCATGTGATTTTCCCTGTCAGTGCTTTGCTATATCTAAGTCCTGGAAAGTTTTCCCAATAGTCCAGCCGCATGTGATTTCCCCTGACCTTGATTATTTGTTTCGGACTGGCCCAGTTTATCCCACAAAAGGGTTGATGTCCTGTAAAAGCAGTTTTTGAACAAGCTAATCGGCTTGTGCATTTCCCAAAACTCCCTTGTGACCCGGAACCCAGTAAAGACCTTATTTCGAGTTGCAAGTAGCTGTAAGAGCTCATAGCATTCAAGAACCTATTTTGACTTGAAAGTCCAAGAGGACAGAGCTTTGAGAACAGCCTAGCTTTCGGCATTCCTTAATAAAACAATGTTTATAGACTTCAAAGTGTTTTATCTTAAGTGTAACATAAGTTAATCTTATTATATTTAACTTAAGACCTCATTGGAAACCACATAATTCAAATACATAGTTATGTGACCAAATTAACCAACTATATTTTTATTTGATGTTTAAATAAATATTAAATTGAACTGCTGCGAAGGGGATTTAGTTTATTATCCCCTAAAGAATTTTACCAAAATTATTGTATAAATTAATGTACATATATAATATAATTACAAATGATTTGTCTTCAAAACAAATTTTGAATACCTAATTAAAGAATTTGCCATATTTAGCTGAAATATTCGCCATACTTTTCTGTTCAATTAAAATTTTATTAAATATGAAATGAAAGCATTTTTGTGCTAAATTTGACAATTTAAAAAATTCAAATTGTTTCTCATTCATTAAAGGATATATCATAATTGATGTGCATATGACAACTGCATTTATAAAAAAATATTTGTGTTAATAATAAATGAAAATTCAACGAATTTACGAGGAATGTGTCACAAAAGGAATTATTCAAAATGAACGCAGGATTTCTACACATTAAATAAATATATTTATAATTTTTTTTGAATAAAATTATAAATAAAATTTTATATTCATAAAAATATATATTTATCATTTACTTTAGTCTTATGATGAGCCTTTTCTGAGTTAGAACATCTTGGCACTTTTACTCTTTGATAGCTGGGGGTTTCCTTAGAGTCCCACCCTTCTCGCTGACTAATTTATGTATTCCTCAAAAGCTTCATAGTTATTTGATGACTAATCTGCGTACCGCCCAGTGCGATTAGTGATTATTCTGAGATTAGATACTGCTAAGTAGGGCAGTCTGCGGGTTTTCGCGAATAGCTTCATGGCTCTGTCCCTTATGTATTTTTTGACTGGGTCTATACTAAGGTCTCTTAACATAACATGTCATTCGTGTGGATGTACCATGAAACTTTGAAGTGTTTTCGACGAGCCTAACTTTGAGCAACTTTCAGCTTTACTACTAATTTGTGACATAGTATTAATTAGAAGGAACGAGGTCATATCCCAATATTTTCAAAAAATCAAAATCTGTTTCGTTCTTTAATGTATAGTATAAAATTTAACAATGTAGCTACTTTTAATATTTTATTTACAATTCTTATTATTATTAATAGCATGTTCTGTACAATTTATATACATAGAACTTAGCCTATTCACAGAGACTTGCAGCAAATTTTTTCCACAGTTTACAATTCCTAGCTATAAATCTTAATTTGCTTATAGTTTTGTTAGTTTCGCTAGCAACTGCCCTGTGCCATGTTGTTTAAGATCAGCCTCTGTTTCTCTCTCCTTGGGGGTTTTAACTGAGCGCGCTGTGCGTTATTTCTTCAGATACGTATCGTTTTCTATATCCTTTTCTACGAACTTCTGTGCTATCACTTACCAGAGACGATCGTTC